TGCCGTTTGAATTAATCGTTTGAATGAACGACTCAATGACTCAACTCATTAAACGCTCACTACTGGCACCTACGGGCGTTTTAATTTCGTTGAAAAGTATCATTTCCACCATAATTTCTTGCTTGTATATTCAAAAATATTTAAAATAATCTCATAATATTATTTAATGCAGTTGTATTTTTCAGTGTAAATCATTTAATTTGATAACGTATAGATAATCACATTATATAATTGAATTTATAGATCAAATATAAGAATTTGAAATGAAAGTATTAATGAGATTAGTGGGAAAATGCCCTCTATAAAGGTAAAAAAAAATGCCCTTGGATAAAATCATAGATGGATAAAATATAAAAAATACGCAGATTTATATGTCACAGCTGATATAAAACTGATGAGAATATTGCTTCAGAATAAATCACATTTGCAAAAATCAAAACACACACACACACACAAACACACACATACAGTATATATATGTGTGTAACAGATGCCATTAAGAGCATCTGATGTTGACAAAATGTCAGAGAGGGACTAATGAAGAGCTTTGGCTGCTGAGGATAGAAGAATTGCAAATGCTAATTCTATTTCCCGTGTGCCTGCATAGAAATTAAAGCAAAAATCTTTCAATTAAATTTTATTTCCTATCCATTATCCCTTAATAATAATAATGGGGACAGATGCAAGCTTCAGTAATTTAGATGTAGTGAAGCACAAGATGTTAACATGCATTAGATGTTCTGTCTTGCAAATGTTATACCTTGTTTGGAATCTAATAATCAATTCCAAGGAGAACTGTGATTATGTGCGACTTGATTACTTCATATTCATCAGTTTATTGTCCGTCTTACCTTAGGTCACTTGGATTGTCTGTTTATAACAAAACAGTGTGGTGATAAATACTTTTTAGTTATTATTTGCTGAAATTAACTTACAGATATTCATTATGTTTATACTAAAAGATAATGTGATATGCATGTAGGCTACTGTACTGTACAGTACTCAGTACTGCATTTTAATTGTATTCTTATCTGTCTTGATTAAAGGGTTGTATTATTAAAATCACTTGTACTTATTATTTAAAGCTAAATTAGCCTACTCGGTTTGAAGCTGTGGTTATCTCATTAAAAGGCTAACTGCACAGTATTTACGTACCACTAGGAGGTCAGGGGTTAGCCAGCTTTATGGTGGTGATAGTAGCACATGGTGAAAAAGAGAGTGACTAAAAGCAGGATTAGATAGCACTTGACCCTCTGGCCAAAACTATCTGTGCAACAGCATAGGCAGGAGAAATGGTTTGAGGGTTGTTTAAAATCTAGTGTCTAAGAAGCTATTATTATATATTATTATCATCATCATCATCATCATCATCATTATTCCATTAGCAAAATGAAAATGAACACCTCAGATTTAGCGTTTAGAGTTTGTATTAGTTGAATATATCATATGGCTAAATTGATCACTGGTGGAAGTATTCACACACAATGTTAAAGATTATTAATCTTAGTCCCATTCTTATTTAGGTCAAATGTATTTTCTGTTTGTTTACCACCAGTTGTAAATATCGTATACTACAGTTCGAATTTGATTGGCTGAGCGTTCGTCAGTGACTCTTTCTGCAGGTGACATTATTACGCCAGTAGGTGGCACCAAGGAAATATTCCTGAAATTAGTCTTTGAATAATTCAATAAACCAATTCCTCCAAAACACTGATTCATTCCGAAGCGCATCAAGTGCACTGTTTACGTGGGTGAATCATCGATTCATTCATTCAAGCGATTTGTTCAGTAACACTGATTCATTCAGAAAAAAAAAACACCTCTATTGTGTGTAGCTTGCCTTGCAGACCCGAACGTTGCTTCTGCTGTGGCTTTGTTTGGAAGTCTTTTTGGAGCAAAATGTTTCTACAATGTAAGTTACGCAATATTCATTTCTTGTTTATTGAACTGTTAAATGCATTATCACAGTCGCAAAGCCTGGAAAGTGGCAAGCTCAATAAACATGTTACCTATTTTTTATTTGGGTGTTTGCGTTATATCCGTGCAAGAACAAATCAAAGAAAAGAAGTCATTAAAAACAATCCTAAATAACTTTAATGATGTTAAGGTAATGCATATACTCTCACTGAAATCTTTGGTTTGGCCCAGTGGTATGTTGTATGGTCTGTGGTCTCATTTTCTGAGAGAGAAACATTTTCAGAGGTGCGGACACAGATTGAAGACTCCACTAAGCCACTGTATTCTGGGCCAAGGAAACTTTAGAAGAAAAACCTTCCATAACCTTTAGTTAAAAGGAAAGCACCTAACATAAAAGTCTCTTTTGAGATACTACAGTAGATATCTTGTATGAATGTTACCAAATATAGCTTCCATCATTTCAGAAAAGTGCTGCTTGCCAAGCCAAATGCCTGGCACAACATGTCATTTTATGATGAGAGAAATACTTTCTTTTATTCTGCGTGACGTTTACAAAATACTCAAAGTGTCTTTCAACTCCTGGCTACTTTCCAGTTTGTTCTCCTGCTGTGCAATATCTCATAAGTCAGTCTGAAAATCGATTCATTTTCTCCTTCTTTGCTTGGACGCTATGTATAGGCCACTTTATAGGCATCTTCCACCTTCCAAATGATTTTTGGCTGTATTGTTTGTTTGTTTGTCTGTTTTCCAGAATGATCCTGTTTTAGAAAATTGCTATTCATTAAACTATATTAATCACAATATTTCACAGAGACCACTGTGCTGCTGTACAATATCAGTGTAAATCATAGTTTGCTCTAACAAATGGTACTGTAATATACCATCACGGTATCCAATGGTAATACCATGGTTATTTGATGTGTAGTGTGGTTCTGAATGCCATAATTATATCCCATGTATTTACATGGTAATCTAAGGTACTATGGAGCTACCATTCTGCATGTCAAAAAAATTTTATTACTATGTATTACATTTTGGTTTTATTCTAAATTAGAAAAGTAACAATAATCAGTCACCACAGACAACTACAGGACAACTACAAATTTAATTGACTACAACCTACTTTTAAAATCTACAAGATAGTTATACTACTAAATGTCTACACTGTAGTTCAGAAAGTGTTCTAGCAGGTGATGCTTTTGGCAAAGGCCACTGGATGTTTATGGAGCTGCGTGAAGCTGACTCAGCGTCCTCTTCTTCTGTTTCTGTCTTCTTCATTTAGAAGCGAAAATCAAACATTTGCCTTCCTCTCTTTCTGACGCTTGCACAGCACTGCACAAACTAAACTTCCCCTGAGGAGTGTATTGGCCTGGACTTCAACTGGGCCAACAGATTATAGCTGTGGCTTCATCAGAATATGACAGACTATGAGCCTTTCCTCTGTACAGCTGCACTATAATCTCAACTATAATCCTATTTTAGGATTATTCATATGAATGTACATGAATATCAGTTTATATCAAGTCCTTAAAGGTTTTAGCCTTTGCCTTATGTTATATATA